TGTGTGTTGTCCTGAGGGCATCATCTTCATCATGTGTGTTGTCCTGAGTCCTTCATCATCATGTGTGTTGTCTTGAGGGCATGACCTTCATCATATGTGTTGTTCTGAGTCCATCATCATCATCATCATTGTGCTGTCCTGAGTCCTTTATTATCATCATGTGTGTTGTCCTAAATCGTTCATCATCGTGTGTGTTGTCCTGAGTCGTTCATCATCATGTGTGTTGTCCTGAAGGCATCGTCTTCATCATGTGTGGTAGTTAGGCACAGATATGTGAAGGTTTTGTTATTTTTGTACAACTTCTACCACGAAAGCTGGCAAATGTTTCATTTTGAGAGTTAAGTTTTTTTCCATCACAAAAAAAACAGATTGTTTTCTCATTTGGTCCTTAGTGAGCTCAAAATGGCAAGAAATAGTATTTTTGTTAAGTGAGTAATAAGCTAAACTGAAATAATTAGGCTATAATAACATGTTTTCATGAACAAGTTTAGTCATTTGAAATTAATGTCATTGTCATCATCATCATCATATATGTGTTGTCCTGAGTCCATCACCATCATGTGTTGTCCTGGGTCCTTCATCATCATACAGTATTTGTTATTCTGAGTCCTTCATCATAATGTGTGTTGTCCTGAGCTCTTCATCATCATAATCATGTGTGCTTTCCTGACTACATCATCATCATATGTATTGTCCTGAGTCCTTCCTCATCATTTGTGTTGTCCTGAGTCCATCATCGTCACATGTGTAGTCTTGAGTCCTTCATCATCAAAGGTGTTGTCCTGAGTCCATCACCATCATATGTGTTGTCCTGAGTCGTTCATCATCATGTGTGCTGTGCTGAGGGCATCATCATCATCATCATCATCATGTGTGTTGTGCTGAGGGCATCATCATCATCATCATGTGTGTTTTGCTGAGTCGTTCATCATCATGTGTGTTGTCCTGAGTCGTTCATCATCATGTGTGTTGTGCTGAGGGCCTCATCATCATCATGTGTGCTGTGCTGAGGGCATCATCATCATCATCATGTGTGTTGTGCTGAGTCGTTCATCATCATGTGTGTTGTCCTGAGTCGTTCATCATCATGTGTGTTGTCCTGTGTCCTTCATCATCATGTATGTTGTCCTGAAGGCATCTTCTTCATCATGTGTGTTGTCCTGAGTCGTTCATCATCATGTGTGTTGTCCTGAGGGCATGACCTTCATCATATGTGCTGTCCTGACTCCTTCATCACCTGTTGTGCTGTCCTGAGTCCTATATTACCATCATATGTGTTGTCCTGAGTCCATCACCATCATGTGTGTTGTCCTGAGTCATTCATCATCATGTGTGTTGTCCTGAGGGCATCATCTTCATCAAGTGTGTTTTCCTCAGTCCTTCAACACATGATGATGAAGAACTCAGGACAACACATATGATAAAGATAATGCCTTCACGACAACACACATGATGATGAACGACTCAGGACAACACACATGATGAAGATGATGCCCTCAGGACAACACACATGATGATGTAGGACTCAGGACAACACACATGATGAAGACGATGCCCTCAGGACAACAAATATGATGATGAAGGACTCAGGACAACACACATGATGAAGACGATGCCCTCAAAACAAACCACATGATGATGATGAAGGACTCAGGACAACACACATGATGAAGATGACTCAGAACAACACATATGATGATGAAGGACTCAGGAAAACACACTCAGAAAGATGATGCCCTCAGGACAACACACATGATGAAGATGACTCAGAACAACACATATGATGATGAAGGTCTCAGGAAAACACACTTGATGAAGATGATGCCCTGAGGACAACATACATGATGATGAAGGACTCAGGACAACACATATGATGGTGCTGAAGGACGCAGGACAACACACATGATGATGAAGGACTCAGGACAACACATATGATGGTCATGCCCTCAGGACAATACATATGATGATGAAGGACTCAGGACAGCACATATGATGAAGATGATGCCTTCAGGACAACACACATGATGATGATGGACTCAGGACAACACACATGATGATGATGGACTCAGGACAACACATATATGATGATGATGATGACAATGACAATGATTTCAATGACTAAACTTGTTCGTGAAAACATGTTATTATAGCCTAATCATTTCAGTTTAGCTTTTTACTCACTTCATAAAAATACTATTTCTTGCCATTTTGAGCTCACTAAGGACCAAATGAGAAAATAATGTTTTTTTGTGATAGAAAAAATCTTAACTCTCAAAACTTAACTCCACATTAAAATAGATACCTTCACAAATTTACATATAATGTACAAACTCACAGATAACATTATGTTGCTATGCTTTGTGGAGCCTGTTAACTTGTGTTCTAAGTAGCCAACATTTGATAACTTTCATTGTAAGAAAGGCTAACTGCTCACCTAGCTGGCTAGCTAACATTTGCTATCTTTTGCGGTAAAAGTTGTACAAAAATAACAAAACCTTCATATATCTGTGCCCAACTACCAATTTAGCAGAAGAAAATAAGCAGGAGTCTGATAGAAGTGTACCTACCTTAAGATGAGAAACTTTAGCAGGTGGGTTAGCTCTGCTTGCAGCTCCTGATTTAGCTCTGCTCCTTCTTTCCAATTTCTTTTGAAAAGAAAACAGGCTCACACTGATGATGTCAAAGACATTACGAGATTTTGATTGGCTGATGTGTTTTGTTGGCCTGAGGGCTTCATCACAGTTGTTGCCCTCAGGACAGCCGCGACTTGGCAAAATCAGGAGATGCGTGTTTCTACAGTTGTTTGCTTGTGAGTGCATTAATATGATTTTATTCTGGCATCTTTATCTACCATCATCAACTGGACTACAGTATTAGATGCACATTAATGGGATTCGGCAGGAGTAATCTAAAACCTTGGGGTCACTACACAACTTTTAAAGTCTGGACAGATTATAAAACACTGGGTGTCTCACACTATCCGCAGATTTTTTGGGGTGACTGAAATACTGGGGATTACACACTGAATGATTAGGGATCACATGCTGCTCGACTTTTAAGCTGTTTCTGAACTGAACAGAACTCACGCAAACTCTCGCATTCTCCCGTTACTAGGAGATGCAAGTAAACAAACATGTAGCGGCTGCTGCTGTTTTCTCTGCCGTTTGCGCTGACACAGTAAAGATAAACATGACTAAGTGAGGGTCATGGATTTAAAGATGAGATCAGTGTGGTGTGTTTTTGAGTTTTAAATGTACCTAAACTTGATTGTGCCTTAAACTCAGCTCATTAAAAAGCTTCGCTCCACACGGGAGAGACTTTTCACCATTTTTCTTTGTTTACTTGCTGTATTTTATTCTTTCGCACTCTCAGTTTTCATTGGCTGCTGTAGGAGTCCGTTCAGATTGAGTTGTAGATCAGTTACACTAGATGATGCTCAGAGTTGTTATTCAATAAACTCCGACTGGTCTGAAACATGATCGGGAGGCTGTGCCCATGGGTGTTTCACTGCACGGATGGGTTAAATGAGGAGGTCTAATTCCTCTGTGTGCAAAACACAGTTGGCTAATGGTTCTGAATTTAATTCAATTCAATATGCCTTCACTGCCTTACCAAAAATAAAGCCACACACTCTTATATTTTGTCGGACCACCTTTAACTTTGAGATCTTGCATCATTCAGTAAATTCGGGTAGCCAGCAGACTGCATTTTATTGCCACATAATGTTGGTGAGCCTAGACCTGACCAACTGAAGGAACCCCAGATCATAGCACTGCCTCCAGAGGCTTGTACGTGCATTGAGTCATGTGTTTCCAGTCTTACCCTGACACACCTATGATAAGGTTGGACTCATCAGACCACATTAACTTGTTCCAATGCTCCAATCTTTATGGTCCCCTGCAAAAACAAGTGGTTTGCTTTTATCAATGTGCATGTGGGAAAGTTTTTATTTTCACTTTGAAACATTGCAGTGAGTTCTACTGTCGTTTTTTGTTTTTGTTTACGATTTGACCAGGTGTTTAAATGATCTCTGATTACGGTCATTCAAGATTTTTTTTCTGACGACGTCTTTTCCGGATAGTTGACGGATGTCCACTATTGTTTTAGTTTTTAATAATGCGTTGGACAGTTCTTAACCCAATAGCAGTCATTTTGGCAGTCTCCTTCTTCTCCACAACCGTGGGATACATCTTCTGACATGAATGTTTAAACAAAGAAGAAAATGTATCTATTAGGGTTAAAAGAAATGCCAGTTGAAACATATTAATCACTGTAGTAATTATCCAGTCAAAGGTATTTCCATGCAAAAGCTACAAATATGCAGAAAATTTTAATTAGCAAAGGTGCATAAAGATTAATTGAAACGATTGCATCATTGCACAAAACATTCCAATTAAAACTGACCAAAGGTGGACGCTGCTTATCACAAGGAGCACCTACAGGTTCAGCACCATGAACAGTAGATGCAGCCGTGCCAGTGTAGGCCCTCGGGCAGAGGAGTGGCAGTGAGAGGTAGAAAAAATGGCACAGACCGGAGCAGGGTGGCCGCTGAAGTGATGAGCCAGACATTTTGTGTCCGTAACCAGCCAGTCCAGTCTGGAATTGTAGAGAGCAATGAGCCAGAGTCAGGCTCCGATTCAGACACTTGCAGACCACAATGAAGTAAAATAGAATACAAAATCAAGGTCAGCCAGTCTAAAGCCAAAAGCCAGATCATTAAAACAGTAACCATGAGGGAAGTCCAAAAAAAACAAAGTCAAAAATCCAGAAAACAAGGTCAATCCAGAAATCACAACAATACTGAGAGGGCTAGGCAAATCTAAGGTCAAAAACAAACAAGGCAATGGTCATGAATGGTGAAGCAAGCAAACAAACAGACTAGAAGGCTCAGTAAAGCTCTGTAAACAAAGGCTACACTTCGCAAATATCCTATGCTAAAGCCTGGGCTTATATACTAAACTGGAGAGGGGCGTGGTCAGAACAGAGGGTGAAAGGGCGCCCTAACAGGTAATAGCAGAGAGTGAGGACCGCCCATTTGATAGCCATTCTTTTTCCACAGGGCGGTCCTCCCCCTCCACCACCTGGGACAAAACGGCCCCCAGCCCTCTGTCCGACATGTCTGTCTGCAAAACAAAAGGGAGAGTAAAGTCAGGCGAATGCAGTAGTGGGCCCCCACAGAGGGCTGCCTTAACACGGGTTACCGCCTGTTGGCACTGCTCCATCCACTGGACCGGATCTGGTGCTCCCTTTTTAGTGAGATTGGTCAGCGGGCTGGTGACGTCCACATAATTAGGTATGAACCTATGATAATAGCCGGCCAGCCCCAGGAACCGTCTCACCTCCTTTTTGGTCTTGGGTCTCGGACAGGTTGCAATTGCCGCCGTCTTATCAATTTGGGGACGCACCTGTCCGTGGCCCAAGTGGAAGCCCAGATACCGTACCTCCACCCGTCCAATTGCACACTTCTTTGGGTTAGCGGTAAGCCCCGCCCGTCTCAGCGATCTCAGAACCGCCCTCAGATGTTGCACGTGCCGCTGCCAATCATTGCTATATATGATAATGTCATCTAGATAGGCAGTGGCATAAGCACAGTGGGGGCGGAGAATTCTATCCATGAGTCGCTGAAACGTGGCCGGTGCTCTCAGGTCAAGAACGTACTGAATTTCATTTTTGCTGTTTGGAGGTCCCTCCTCCCAGTGCTCTTTAATGATGTCTAGGATGCCCCTGGGTTTCCTCCCGTACAATAACTCAAAAGGAGAAAACCCCGAGGAGGCTTGCGGGACCTCTCGCACTGCAAACAGGGGTTCTAGCCACTTATCCCAGTTCTTAGCGTCCTCATGAACGAACTTCCGAATCATATTTTTAAGGGTTTGGTTAAAATGTTCGACCAGACCATTCGTTTGGGGGTGGTAAACACTGGTATGAAACAATTTAACGCCCAACAACTTGTATAGTTCGTGTAAGGTGCGTGACATGAACGTTATGCCCTGATCAGTCAGGATCTCTTTTGGGATCCCAACTCGGGAGATCACTTTGAAGAGTGCCTCTGCAACGGTACGTGCCAAAATGTTACGAAGAGGCACTGCTTCTGGATATTGCGTTGCATAATCAACTAAGACCAATACAAAGCGATACCCACGTGCGCTTCGATCTAATGGCCCGACCAGGTCCATGCCAATTCTTTTGAAGGGGACCTCGATTAATGGAAGGGGGTGCAAAGGCGCTTTTGGGATGGCCGCCAGGTTCACGAGCTGGCATTCGCGGCATGACGCACACCACCTGCGTACATCCACGTGAATGCCTGGCCAGTAGAAACGGTCCATTAGACGATTAAGTGTCTTCTCTTGTCCCAAATGCCCAGCCATGGGATTATTATGAGCCGCATGTGCCTCAGCGCGTCATCCCGTGACTGCTCCAGAGGGAAATCCTCGAGGGGAGACAGGAGGGTAACCCCCGGAGGCGTGGCCACGCTGTCAGGTTCGGCCCCGCCCCCGGAGGAACTATCACCTGCCCCCCCTCGCTCAGGAGCCGTCACCGACGGGCGCGGAAGCTTGTCTAGCTCGAGCGCGGCACATGCCGCCTTCCCTATCGTAGTGCGGGACCCATCCTCTACCAAAGCTTTCACCAACACCCCAAACTGCGGTCAATTTGTCCCCAAAATCAGAGGATGGGTAAGGCGAGGACTAACCGCCGCCTTTACGCTATGCCTTTTTCCCGAAACTCGATTATAATGGGCAGGACAGGGTAATTGTGTACATCCCCGTGCACACACTGCAACTTTATCTGATAGGCCCTCTCCAATGCCATGTCTTGAATCAAGCATTGGTGAATCGTGGTTTGATTACATCCAGAGTCCACCCCTCGAATACTCACTGGTATGCGATACGCTCCAGCTCGATCAGGGGAGGTGGGTGGCGACGTGGGGACCCGAACCAGCGTTCCGACCTCCATGTGGTGGCACTGGTCCTGGAAGTGCCTGGGCTCCCCACATCGCCAACACACCTGCCCAGGCTTCACCCCAGCTCTTGTGGGCTCAGCTGCTGCTCCTTGTGCAGAGAGAGAAGGCAGACCGTGAGTAGCTGCAAGGGGATTGCGGGAAATAGAAAGGGGGGGGTGTGGGGAGGGCGAGAGCGAGAGCAGGGAAAGGGCTTGGGGGCTACAGCCCCCCTCTTTCTGGGAGTGGGAGTAGGGGGAGAGAGAGAAGGAGAGAGAGTTATCGGCTGGGTGGGGGTTATCGGCTGGGTGGGCGTTCCTGCCCCCGAATACGCCGCCAGGTGTGCCTCTGCCAGCCTGGTGGCCTCGTCCAGCGATTCCGGTTGGTGGCACTGGACCCTCGCTGCCGTCTTCTCGGGTAAGTGGGCAATGAACTGCTCCAGCACCACCAGGTCGAGGACCTCCTCGGAATCGCGGGCTGCTAACAGGAGCCACCTCCTGCAGGAATCTCAGAGTTGTTGCGCCAGCACAAAGTGTCGGTCAAACTCTTGGAGTGTCAGTGTGCACAACCGCTGATGGTGTTGCTCCGGAGTTCGTCCAACCCTCTGGAGGACGGCCTCGTCGTACTCCAGCTGCGACTGAGCAGGGAGCTGTTGGGCGGCAAGCTGGGCTTCCCCCGTGAGCAGGGGCAGCAGTCAGATGGCCCAGTCCTTTTTCAGCCACCCCCAGTCTTCCACCGCTCTCTCGAAGAGCTCCACAAACGCTTCAGGGTCGTCTTGTGGAGTTATCTTCGAGATGGAGATGGTTGCTGAGCCAGGGCCTCGAAGCGGGCCTGGTTTTCCCGCTGGACATCCAGCAGAGCTTGGTGTTGGGTCTGCTGCAGGAGGGAGAGGGCTTTAACTATCTCCCCAAGCGGTGAAGACTCCATGGCGACGTATCGTCCAATCCTTCCCGGGTTTCGGCACCACTGTGGAAGTGTTGATGGTGGGAGGAGGAAAGACGCCGGGGGGCAGGTGTGGAGACGGAGAGCTTTTTATTCACAATACAAAAAAACACAAAATACTCGGTTTCTTCAGCCCACACAGACAAGACGCTTGCTGGGACTTTTCAGTCCTTTCTGTCCACCTTTTTCTGACCGCTCAGGTCATGTCAATTCGGCACGCTTAGCTCAGCTCTCACGCCTCCGGTAGTCTCCTTCTCTCTCTGGGCTCTGCCGCCTACTGAAGGAAGAGATTACCTATAAGAAGGCTGGCAGAAACAAGGCACAGGTGAGCATAATCAGATAATTAGCCCGCTGGTTCAGCCCAACCGGCTTCTCAGTCCCGCATTTGACGCTCGGCCACGCCCCCTTCTCCACAATTTCAATTTTCACATATCTTACTTTTTACTCCACTATATTATGAGAAATCTGTCGTTCCTTTTGGTTTATGTGAGCATAAAAACATATCATGTCAAAACAAAAGAAGCGCAAATCATGAACACCAATCAGGGCACAGCGCTCACTTTGTTTTGAGCTTGTTTGGACCTTTTGGTCATACCGACCCAGTGCAGCACACGGTTCAACATCAGTGCAGCAGCGTAAAATTTTGGGAGTGTCTATTCAACATAAATGATGAACTAACCTAACTTTGTGTAAACAGACCACAATATAGAAATATGCACACATATGCAGTTGTGACTGCCTTTTTTTCTGTATTTATACAAACACTTTCATTTTTTAGTAAATTTGTTCTTGCTAGTTTATGTTCATGAACAGAGACCTACAGATGCAGTTTAGTAAAGGAAAACTCATTTGTGAATCTGTGATTAAAGCAAGTTTTTATTAAACTTTATTTATATTATACTTGTAACTTAGTTGCAAATAAATCTCAAACTAAAACGTTGCTGTTTATTTCAGAGCCACTCTGTTCTACTTAATGGAAACTGTTTGCCTTCAGTGTTTTGTACTTCTGATAATTTTAATAGACATCAGCGTCACTGATTAATGACCTTCTATTAAAAGACTGGTTTACCAAGAGTGACACTGGAGTATTTTCACCTAAAATTAGTTAATGAAGCAGAGTCTTGTTACAAAAATAGTAACAGGACATTAGAGTCATACTTAATGTTTTAGTACATTTACTTTTGATACTTAAGTACATTTAAAGACAAATACTTTTGTACTTTTACTCCAGTGGAGGTCTAAAGGGAGGAACTTCTCCTTTTACTGTAATATTTTACCTTGGGTGTCTCTACTTTAACTCAAGTACATGATTTGTGTACTTCGTCCACCACTGATGTGATCAGGCGAGGTGTTCTGGGAGATGGATTCCAGAGGCTGGGAGGTAGTGACAGTGGAAACGGAGGGAGGCGTGACAGCGAGATAGACTTGATTTATGATATTCAATAAACAGCGTACCCTCATATCACTGGCTAAAGTCAACCATCATGGCCAAGTACAGGTCCAGTTCCCCCCCATGTTCAGGGTAGACTTGACACAAAACATCCCTATAAATGTCAAACGTGACAACGAACTGCCCAAAGGAGAGATTGTGCTGCAGCCTAGGATCAGACATTTCAAGAAAAAACGAAAGATCAATCTAATGGTCGATAGATGGGCCAGCAAGGAGGCCTAATTAAAGTTCTTACCTTGAAGGATATTGGACCTGATGCAAACAGAGGCAGTAGCCACAGCAAGAGGCACAGCTTGCGTAGGCAGAGCAGTGGAGACTGAAAGCAAGCAGGGCAGGAACAGCAGGTCATCATGTATCAGCATAGCATGTCAAGGGGTGGAGTCGCACTGTCTTTTTAATGGCAACCTGGCTGAATTTAAGGCTCCTAACAGAGTCTGCGAGACTCTGGATGACGGCAGTTGGAGATCCAGGGCAGCCAGATCCTAGGAGACTGGCTACAGAGAATGCAGAAGAGCAGGGTGCTTGCAGGAACTTTTCACTGGGTGAGGAGAGGACAACTTTGCCAAACACTTCCTCCTAGACTTCGTTGGCTGAGCTGATGCTGCGGGAGAAGCGGGAGCAAGTCTGCAGGAGGAATGGAGTGGCTGCTCAGAGAAGTCTTGTGTCACTTAAATCCCATTTTGAGTTGCTTAAACCGTTTATCATATCTTCAGCATTTTCATAAAACAGAAAAAAAAACAGGAAGATCTGGACCAAAAACAAATCCGGTAGTTTATCTCATTTGTGTTGGATAAACAGAATCTGTGTTTATTATAATAATCATTTCTGTCACTACACAACAAATGGGAGTTCACAGTTAAAGTGTGTGTATGCCATTGTAGGAGGTGACACAGTATTCTACATTGAACTAGCTTATCAAGGCCACAGTCCACTTGATGGGGTGAGGAGCTCAGTCTTCCGGAAGGAGCTCAAAGTAGAGCCACTACTCCTCCAGATTGAGAGGAGACAGTTGAGGTGGTTTGGACATCTGATTGGGATGCCCCCCTGGCCACCTGCCATTGGAGGTTTACCAAGCATGGCTTACTGGGATGAGAGGTCGTCATAGGACTTGCTGGAGGGATTATATCTCCAAGTTGGCCTTGGAGCAGCTCAGGATCCCCCAGAACGAGCTGGAGGAAGTTACGGGGGACAGGGTCGTCTGGGACTCCCTGTTGTTATTGTGACCCTAGCTGGATAAAGCGGTTTAAGAAGATGAATGAATGAATGAGGGTCAGGATCAAAAGCCTTTCAGTTGCTTATGTTCTCAGCTGCTTTAATAAGTGCTATTCTGCGAGTACTTGTTGACACTGTCACTAATTGTATATCGCTGCTGTCGGAACAAAACCTTGTATCTCCATTTTTGAGTTTTTGACATAATTTGAAGGTGCCTGCTTTTTACATTGTGTGTAAATTTCATGATAAATGAACCCAAAGAAATGGGCCAAAATGACTGGTTTCAACAAACGTCTAGTTTCACTGAGTTACATTGAATGTGAATATGTTTTTTCCTTCTCCTGTAAAAATATCATGGTAACACTTTCTATGAATGTCACCTTTTGTAAGCAGCTATAAACATATTTATAACATGTTATAATGTATTCATAAGGCATTATAAACATGGTTATAAATATTTATAAAAAGAATTACACTGAATTACACTTTATAGCCATGTTTATTATACATTATGAGTTATTAATATAATGCATTATAAATAGTGTTAATAACATGTTATAATGTCTGTGCCAAAGAAGTCAGTCCCAGCTTGGAGAGCATAAAGTAAAGACAAATACCAAGCTAACGGTGGTGAACATTGACTTTCCCACATTGGGTAAAACACTGATGGCAGCTCTAGTTTAAACTCTGACATTTGAAGCCTGTAATGTGCTTTACTGTGAATGTTTTAGTGTTTCAGTAAATCCTTCAGTAAATACTTCAACTTGAAGCCTCACTCTTAACACTGGAGGAGGCTTTAGTACAGTACGCTTCACTTTACTTAGAGCGGACAAATACGACTTATGAGCTCTTATAATTTGTTATGATCAGTACTTATAATGTATTATGTTAACAATTCATAATGTATAATAAGCATGGCTATAACGTATAGTGCATTTTAGTCTTATGAATGTATTATAACATGTTATGAATGTGTTTATAGGTGCTTACAAAGGTGACATTCATAGAAAGTGTTACCAATATCATTTTGGAGATCCCGAAGATATTCCGAAGGAGATATTATTTGGAGCACAAATCCAAAACTTAAAATTGTATTATGTTACAGAGGTACGTGAATGCAGTGTTAGGAGTCTTGCCAAGGACTCTTATTGGTATAGCATGGTGTGCTTGGTCTGACAGAGAATCAAACCCCAGTCTGCTATGAGAATGGCAGTAATATTACCAACTACACTATACCAAATGAATTAAAGGGGTAAAATGTCCTTATATGTTCTGTTCAGCTTCCTCTGGAATCACTACACACACATTTTTGCCCTGTTCAATGATTTCTGGCACTTAATATGTTACTTATTGTTTAATAATCTCTCGAAAGTTTTCAATGCAGATCACATTTTATATGTATTCTAAAAAGTATCAGCTACAGAAGCCAAAGGCAGTATATTGTGAAATATAGTCTTAGAACTTAGAATGCAACATTTTGTCCTCACCAGTAAAAACACTTCACATAGGAAAGAGCAGAAAACCACTGAAAGTGCAATGGTTGTCACTGTTGTCATAAATCTGTAACTAACGACTGTAACTAACTAACTGTAAATAACGACCTGTATTAAACAGGAAAACCATAGACAGGACACGTTTACAAGGTTAGGTCTTTTATTCAGGGAAAAAAAAAACAACTAAAAAGTTGACCTTCCTCTGTGCAACTCCTACTGAATTTTAGCCCCCTCTAGTGGACATACTAGAAAAAAACAACTAAAACATGTTTAAAAGGGAAATAAAATCCACTCTCTCCTCCAAAGCTGTAAAACACACACAACAGATAAACAACTGTCCAGTCAACTAAGCACAGAATCAAATTATTGACCAAAAAAACACTTTCACTAAGCACCACTGAGAGTCGTGATCAGGACTAATACGAGTAAAGACTGTAATAACTTTACACTGGACGTTTTAGCAGCAGGGTCAGTCTCTCACAGAGGCACCAGACAAGTATCAAGCTGCTTTATAATAAACAAACAAATAAATAAATAAATAAATGACAAACTAAAACACTCTTTAAAGCACCAATCAGGAATCTGAACCAGGACAGAATCAAAACTACTACCAAGGACAGCAGTAATGTTACTCTTTTCACAGTCTTGTAGTTCTGCTGTTTGCTGTGTTTTTTAACTGTTATTGCAGTTTTTGGTTGAGGATTAATTTTGTAGGAATCAGTAGAGCCTCTTCACTGACCTGTTTCTAATTTGCATAAACTTAGCAGGGTTACTTTCTAGTAGAGGAACCCAACATTTATCCCATCTTTTATCAAAATAATATATTTACA